TTGCGGCGACTGCATAATATTTTTTGTGTGGTTGGGGAGTGGGGTGGGGGGGGGTGGTGGATTTTTTTTAACTTGCGTTGGATGAATGATACTTAGTTTCCACACAGATTTTCTACAAATTGCAAGATGATTTTGCAGTTTGATTAATAGGTGTCAAGACGCTACTAAATCATCTTAACTGTCCTTGTGCGAAAAACGTCATGGGGGAAGGAGAGTGAGATGGCCTGCTAAAAACTAGACAAAATCTTATGTCATGCAGACTCCTAAAGAAACTGCTAAACTGATTTATTAATTAAAGATCATGGTATGAGAGGCTGATGCCTCCTAATAGCTGCACCATGTGATACTTCTAATATGAAAAAATAAATATTAGAAACATTCATTCTGCTTTGTTTTATGGGAAGTTCCTGGGTATCACTGAGGTTCTGCTCCTAGTGTCTGTTTTGACCACCAGTCACAAGATGGAATAATAGAAAATGAGGGTTGGAAGGGAGCTCAGGAGGTCATCTAATCCAACCCCCTGCTCAAAGCAGGACCATCCCACTATATCAACTCAGCTATGGCTTTGTCTAGCTTGGTTTTAAAAAACCACTTAGGATGGAGAGTCTGTGCCGCCTTTGGTAGCCTGTTCCAGTGCTTTACTACCTTCCTGGTGAGCGTGGTTAAATATTAGGAAAAACTAAACTTCCCTTGCTGAATTGGAAACCGTTGCTCCTTGTTCTGTCATCTGCCACCGCTGAGAACAGTGGCCTCAGCAGTGCTAAGTAGAGGGGAACAATCACTTCCCTTGATCTGTTGGCAACGCTTCTACTCATGCAGCCCAGGATGCCTTTAGCCTTTTCTGGCAGCAAGGGCATGCTGTTGGCTTCTATCCAGCTTCTTGTCCCCTGTCACCCCCAGGTCCTTTTCTGCAGAGCTGCTGCCCAGCCAGTCAGCCCACAGCCTGCACCAGTGCATGGGATTGGTCTGATCCTCCAATTTGTTGAGGTTTCGCAGAATCCTAGCCCCACCCTCCAGTGTGTCTACTACTCCACCCAGCTTGGGGAATATGTAATTTCTCATGCCACTAGCTTGCATTCTGGAGGATGAATAAGGGAGTTTGTCACCACTGTCAAAGCATAAACATTTCAACTGGGTTTATGAAATGAGGTAGGTTACTCGCATATTGTTGGTATTCAGGTCTTGCATTATATTTAGCTAGTATTTTCATCTCCTGTTTAACAGAGTGTGTTCAGCAGGGTTTTCAGTAATGCCTCTAGTTCAACACAGTGAGTGAGGAGCAAATGGACTGTGAAAGTGGCTGATGATTGTTTGCTGCTGAAAACCTTTTGGGGTTTTTCATTCAAATAATGAATTTTCACTAGCAACGCAAACTAATGTTTAGAGTAAGGGAGTAGAAAACAAGAGAGTAAGGGACAAATCAGATGGATATTTATAGAGAACAGCCCATAATAGAGAAGGCTCCTCAGATGTCCTTGTTTATACTTTCACTAGTACTTAATCTAGTGTTACTTCATTACACTTAAAAATAAATATTCTCTTGGACTCCAGGCTGCTATTATTGAGGCAAATAGTTTAATAAGGAGCACTAGATGTTGACATTAGACTTCTGTCCTGAACCTGCAACTTGGGTTCACTTGTGTCTGTAAGGAGGCTTCAGCAGGGCTCTTCGTAAGCATGAGCACCCATCCATGCCAAGCAGGTACTGGGGCTGAAATAGCACCTGCACATAAAGTAGCTAAGGTAATGTGGTAGGGGGTTTTAGCCCTGTACTGTGGCGTAAGGCCACAGTCAGATAAAGTTGAGAAGAACTTTTCCCCTGCTATAGGAAACTGCAAAATTAAGCTCAGTATGGGAGATTTATATCTTTCTCTGACATTTGTCATCTCTTCAAAGACAGGATTCTGGATTCCATCCTTTTACTCCATTCCAGCAATTTCTATATTCTTTTCTTAAGTCTTTTAATAAAATACCTGATTGTTGACCCGTATGCACTGTTCTGACTGAAGGGAGGGCTCTTCCGCATTGTAGATGCTGTAGCTGCATCTTGCCTGCGGCCAGAATGTTGCAGGTTTTTGGGCTGAGTCCAGCAGCATCAGTTCTAGTCTCATGTTGCTGTTCCTCCTCCATGGCTGCTGGAGCTTTCTGTAATTTCTGTGATAAGTGTCTGTATCCCCCCATGCTCTGATTGGGCTCAGTTCTCAGACTGAATAGTAAGGCTGTGCTAATGCTCCTCGTGGGACAAAAGCCATAGGTTCCTGGCTAGAGGGTCTTGCCCCTCTGCTCGGGGTCAGACCAACACCATATTTGGGGTCAGGAAGGAATATTATCCCATGGTCAGATTGGTGGGGGTGGGAGTCAGGTTTGCCTTTCTCTGTAGCAGGGGACATGGTCCTCTACCTGGGACCTCTTGAGCATATATTGACGACATTGTATAGAAGCAGGACATTGGCTGCCGTGGTCCCTCTGCTTTACCTGTGGCAAGTTCGGGTGTTAGGTGTATGTTGTGCCAGGCTTGAGAGTAGCCTTATGTAAAGTTTAGATTATGCTTGTCTGGGATGGCTTGGACAGGGCTGACTCTACCGCAGGCAAGGGTTGGACTAGATGTGACCTCTGGAGGTCTCTTCCAGCCCCACTTCTCTATGACTCTAAGGGTGTACATAAGTGTGCTTATTAATTACCGCACCCTCATTCTGGATGCTTAGCCAGGAGTGGCCACAGATTTCCTGTTGTCTGCTCTGCATGCATGTAGAAACACAATTCTCACAGATCCATTCTTCTCTCTCCCACTTTCTTTGTGTTTAAAACTAAACAGTTGCAGTAGAAGGCCCCAATGGGATTGTGCATGTGCTTAATGTTAACCACATTGTGTAAGTATTTGCAGAATTGTGGCCTAAGAAATGTAATTTTTGTTGGGGGGCGGGGGTTCCCTTGCAGGACCTGAGTACCCAAATGTGACTGCATGCTTTCCTTGTGGCATTCCTTTAAAAGCTACTGAATGTCTTTGTTTTGTACTGGTAAAGGCTAAAAATGAATCGGACAAAACAGTGCATGGGATAGTCAGACCAGTTTGATAATGGCTGGTGGACTTGCTTTACGTTGCTTCAGAGGCTCATCTGATTTGAATTTTGATAATCAGATACATTCCATTCTTGTGACTTAAACTGATTAGATTTATGCTTCTCTACACAATAAAGCAGAGTATCTTCTTCACATCTGGAGTCCAGTGAATAAGAGCCTTAATTAAAATTAACTCCCTACTTGAGAGCACGGAGGCAGAAAGAGATCTTGGAGTCATTATTGACTCCAAGATGAACATGGGCCGACAATGCGAGGTCATGGTTGGCAGGGCTAACCGGACCTTATCGTGCATCCACAGGTGCATCTTGAGTAGAGCCAAGGAGGTGATCCTCCCCCTCTACGCGACGCTGGTCAGGCCACAGCTGGAGTATTGTGTCCAGTTCTGTGCG